CAAAATACTGTCCATTACTTATCTTAACTATAGATTAATTAGTGAGATTGACTTGATTAACTTAGGAGTTGATGGTTTTGACGGCTTGAGGACTCTGCGGTTTAATCTTGATCAAGGCGGAGTGTAGCGCTCATACAGTATTGTGGGAGTTTCCCAAACTTTGGGGGAAGGTAGGAAAGGAGGAACTCCATACGTCTAAAGGCCTTACAAGGCTCACAAGGCTCATTTTGAAGATCTCGCAAGTAGCGTTTGCAAGAAGTGTCCAATCTAGACCATAGAGCCCCTGGAAGGCCTTCGCCATCGAGCCAGATGTGACGGTAGCGTTCACCTGAACAAGTTTAGAGCTTGAGGTAGTACCTGATAAAAACACTTTACCGTTCAAGGCTTTTGGCCATTGAGGGGTTCTAGGGTTTTAACAATCTTTTTGCGGCCACCAGGTTTATTCAGAGGCCTTCTAGGCTGTAGAGGTTGTAGGGCTTGGGTTCCTTCTAAAAGGAATCCCCATGCTTGAGATACACCAGTTGCATCCTCTTGTTTAAAGAAAGCAAAGTTTCAGAGGGCCCTAAACTCTAATGCCCTAAACCCCAAACCCAATACTGCAACAAGGCTGCAAAGCCCTGACCCTTCATAGCAAGCTCAGGACCTACGTAAGAAGGACATGGAAGGTTGTCAAAATGTTGGCTCCATTTTGGATACCCTCAAGACTAGGGGCCGTAGAATATTCGGGACCAAAACAAAGCCTATAATCCTGATAACCAACCATGTTGAGAGGTTTGCACGAAGCCTACACCCTAGTATGTCTTTGTCGAATATCCGCTTTGGAATCGCTGCTATGCTCCCTTGCAACTAGCAAGGATCGTCTTGAAGACTTTGTTTGGGACTGCAGTCCCAGTCCGGGGTGAAAACTCATAGTTTGTGATCCTAATGCAACGGGAAACAAGCTAAACGGAGTGGCTACGACAGCTCACAGAGGATTTTGGGATTAATTACAGCAGACGTATGAACGGCGTTTGAACTGATGATGCTTGTGATTGCTCTTGTTTCCATGTTTAACTTTGGGTTTTAGGGGCCGGGCTTCACACCTTCCAGGCTAGGGAGAAGTGTGCCATGGTTCTGATGGCACTCCGGCCCTGAACCTTGATTGCGCAGCACATGTGGAAACCTAAGGCCCTTTCGACCTAAACTTTTTGAATCCTCAACTCTACGCCCGACACCCTGCGAATCCCAAGCCCCAAACTTTAAACCCTAAGCCCCATACACTCAGATTTGGTAACCCTAAACCTGTTCCATGTTGGGATGCTCTTAAAATCTCTTAAACACCAAAGTGCTACTCTACACCACAAACTTCACGAACCATGGCCTGCTCATTCTCATGGTCATGATCATGGTCACCTTAGGGACTGGAGAGCTTCTGAAAACAGCCGGGGGGGGGGGGCGAGGAATCTAGGAAGACAGGGGGCCAAAGGATAAGGACTCTACAGAGGCTGTTCTCAAGAACTCCCAGATAGAGTTCGGATCTTAACAGTGGAAGAAGGTTTTGTAATGCGTCTTGAATATTCATTGGCCAAGGAGCTGCAACAATCTGCATAATAGGGGGCTTCTCCGCACGTAGGGGGCCAGGTGCTCAAAACCGCCAACTGTACAAGTTCCCAGATAGCCCTAGAAAATGACTCAACATATCCAACAAGGATCAAGAATGAAGATGGACATGTAGTTAACCCATCATCAGGCCTTGTCAGTCACATCATAAATAGGGTAGGGCCCCTTTCGCAACGAGATATTTGCAGAGGCCAGTAGGCTCTTATTGGATCTAAGATTCACTGCGAAGAGGATGCATGTCATGCTGGGGACTGTGTAGGATTCTTTTTCTCGTTTATAGAGGACTATCCTGGGGATTTCTGCAAAGATTAATCTCTTGCGACATTCCTCTGTGCTTGCCGCCAAAGGCACAAGCAGGCTCGCGGCTAGCGGCAGGAAGACCGCTGAACAGCTCCATCAGGAAGTGCTTGGTGCTCTCCCATGACCTCACATCTGCGCGCTGATCGTACATGGCCTGCATGGGAGTGTTCGCGCTCCACTCAGTGAAGGTGTGGTAGACTCCGGAACCATACCGTGCGATTTCGTAGGTGGCCTGCGCAGACTCGAACTCCTCCTCCAGCATTGCCATGTCCGTAGCCATGTCATCCTTCACGCCAGAGTGGAGCAATACCTTGGCCGTCACTGGGACGGTGCTGTTGCCACGCACCACCCGTGCACTGGGGCTGATGCCGGAATGGTATCCGACCACACCCAGCACGTCCATGCCCAGAATGGCCATGTTCACAACGCCGGTACCCCCAAAGCAGTAGCCGATGACAGCAATCTTGGTGGTGTCAACGAATTCCAGGGTCTTGACCTTGTCGATTGCAGCCCTGATCTTCGACATGTAGAGGTCCGGATTCCCACGATGCATGCCGGCAGCAGCTGCCCAATCGCCCATGTCCTCCACAGGCGTGCCGTAGCCGTAGATGTCCGCCGCAAAGCCAACATAGCCCAGCCCAGCCAGCATGCGTGCGCGCTCCTTCTCGTAGTCGTTCATGCCATTCCAGTCCTGGATGACCACCACAGCCGGACACTTCATGCTGGCCGTGCAGGTAGTGTGGTTGTAAGCCAGGTAGCCTTCGCAGGTCGTGGTGTTGCAGGTGTAGTTGTGCAGCCCAGTCGTGAAGCCGTCGTCCTCTGGGCCCCGGCTGGCTGCAGGAAGACCGCTGAACAGTTCCATCAGGAAGTGCTTGGTGCTTTCCCACGACCTCACATCTGCCCGCTGATCGTACATGGACTGCATCGGAACGCTCGCGCTCCACTCAGTGAAGGTGTGGTAGACCCCAGAACCATAGCGCACGATTTCGTAGGTGGCCTGCGCAGACTCGAACTCCTCCTCCAGCATTGCCATGTCCGTAGCCATGTCATCCTTCACGCCAGAGTGGAGCAATACCTTGGCCGTCACTGGGACGGTGCTGTTGCCACGCACCACCCGTGCATTGGGGCTGATGCCGGAATGGTATCCAACCACACCCAGCACGTCCATACCCAGAATGGCCATGTTCACGACGCCGGTACCCCCAAAGCAGTAGCCGATGACAGCAATCTTGGTGGTGTCCACGAAGTCATACGTCTTCACCGTGTCAATTGCCGCAGTGATCTTGGCCATGTAGAGGTCTGGATTTCCGCGGTGCGCGGAAGAAGCAGCCATCCAATCGGCCATGTCCTCCACTGGGGTGCCGTAGCCATAGATGTCGGCTGCAAAGCCCACGTAGCCTAGCTCGGCCAGCATGCGTGTGCGCTCCTTCTCGTAGTCGTTCATGCCGTTCCAGTCCTGGATGACCACCACAGCCGGACACTTGCTGCTTGCGGTACAGTGCGATGTCTTGTAGGCCATGTATCCACCACAGGTCGTGCTGTCGCACGTGTAGTTGACCATCATGGCCTCATGCTCGCAATGGTCGTGGCCACCGTGGCCGGCTCCAAGTGCAGTGGCCGCAAGGCTTGCCGCAACTAGCACGCGGCACATCGCCATGCTTCGGTGTGTGGAGCTCACACTGAAAAGGGAGAGGTCGTGGGTGGTCTGAGGCTGACATGGCAACAGGTGTGCGAAGGTCCGCCTCAATGTGGTAGTTGTCACAAGAGCAAGAACCAACACAGCCCATTGCTTTCCTGACTACACTAAAATAAAATCTAGAAGGGATGTTTTGAAGCAAGCCGTTTTTCGGAAAGATCTAAGCAGAGCTCCATAAGGACAGTGAACATGATTCACCTGCCAGACACGATGCAGATCTGACCTTCCAACCATGTCTCAGCGGGCTATGAAGCAGCTGCGGTGACCATTTCTCCCGTTGTGGATGTGTAGCGTGAAGAGGCCCGAGCCTCAACTGGAGCTGGGCCCATGCTGCTTCGCAGCACGTGACCACAGTATCTCGAAAGTTCGCCGCCATAGAACGGAGGCTGATTCCCGTCACGTTGGACTGGACAAGTCAAATGCGCTGGGCGAGATTTCGAAGGTGGACCCATGACCCAAGCTCTAACTCAAAGACTCTCAGGACAACACCTCATGAAGTGCCCGCCGCAGCGCTGAAAATACCTGAAAACTGGGAAAAACAGCCCCTGACACTCCCGCTACTTCAGCAAGACAGGTGCGTCAGCCAGCCGAATCGCTGAAGTCTTGGACCTTGCAACTTCCGCACAACCCGTTTCCTGGGGTTGAGAAACAGGGTCCGCATGTTTGCACAGGATATCTTCAAGTTGTCGGCCCAAGTACCCAAATAATCGGGCTTTAGGGTCCAAATACCATTAAATATTGGAGTATTTGGGCCCTGAAACCCTATTATTTGGGTCCTTGGACCCTTAGCGAAATTCATTGGGTAAGTTGATCGTGGTTTCAAAAGATGGCCGCCAAGCATCACGAAGGCTTTGGCTCTGAAGCCTACTTGCAGCACCATAATCATTATATAATAGTATAGTCATACAACAATATATTGATATCATAATATAATAACATATTCATATACAGATATAATATAATGAAATAATAGTAATAAAGTACATTAATCTTTACCAAAGACGGGCGGTACTCCACAGCAGTAGATCCACTTTGCATGCCCCAAGCGCTACCTTACAACTTGAGAGCCCGAAATCCCAGAAAGAGCTTGGAGTGTTGTACCCACGCTGTTGACTCCCCTTTTCTTTGGACCATGCCTTTCTTCAACCTTCACTTTTGGACCTCCTCCCTTTCCTCACTGGTATCTACACGGATCCAGTTAAACCCTCCAACAAGGGCTTCAGGGCTCAGGCGTTGGCCCTAACTCCATAACAAGTCCCAGCTTCAAAAAACAAAAGTGAAACTTGAAAATTGGGGCATCCAGACTGCTTTCCCTACATGCTCCCGAATCTATCTAGTAAATATTCCGTTCTTTTGTAGCTAAACCCCAAAACCCCAGCTACCCAGCCAGGACTTATACACCTGCCTATGCCAGCAGCGCGAGTACTGCCCCGGCTCCCAGAGAGAGGACGGCAGCCTGGGTAGTGGCTGCTACTCGGTTTAGGGTTTAGGGTGTAGGGGTTTAGGGTTTCGGGGTGGCTAGTAGGGCCTGGAAAAGAAAATAGAAACTGTCACGTTATTTGGGTTGTAGGGTTTATGACTGTTCGTAGGAAATGTATGAGAAAATGGAAGCTGTCATATCATTAGGTTGTAGGATTGACATGTTGAGGTGGCTAGTTGGGAACGAAAAACAAAATAGAAACCATCACATTACACAAGGTCTAGGGCTGGGGTTTCGGGTGAATGGTAAGGAATGGAAGAATGGACCTTTCTAGTAGTCCCTCGGTAATCTGTGCTAATCCCACTGCTTCAGCCCGTAGCAACCACTAGTACGCGCTTGTGACGATCTTCTCGCAGATAATACTTTGGTCCCTACTACCGAAGGCACCACTACCCTCTAAAATCTACCCTACACCCTGAACCCTAAATCCTAAACCCTATATCCTAAACCCTAAAACCTATAAAGGGTTCATAGCATGGACCCAGTCATCCCCTGTTAATGCCAATCAATGCATTCTGTAAGTAGAAATACGGATACACGTGATGAAAAGAGAGGGATAGTACCAAGTAGTTAAAAATAGAACCCAGGACCGGTTATAAGGTCCCCAATAGCGGGCACTCAGGCCTAAACAGAGGGTAGTTGGAGGGTCTAGGAAGAGGAGTGTTCGACCACCGCGCTATTTGACGCTGTGTTGCCTGTCAACTGCCAGCTACACGGCAGCATCGGCCTCTTGACTCTCAGCTTTTTTGGCTAGCGTCCAACATTGTGTTCCCAAAAAATGTGATGCCGACTTTGCAGGAAACTCGGGCACAGTTGAAATACGGTAGTTTCCCAAAACAAGGGGACCCCCCAATATAGACCCAATATACTATAGTCCTTATCATGGGGACCCCCAAAAAGGTACGGAAACCACCATACAAGCAACAAGCAGAGAGGGAAAATTGGGGCACTCCGGTGACTCTGTTGACATTGCGTAACTTGGAGGCCAGATCCAGCACCCTGCGGCTTCAGGCCTCTTTTGGACAATGAGGATTTGGGGGTTTCCCAAAATGGGGGTCCCCATAATAAGGACTATATAATATTTTGGGGTTTATATTGGAGTCCCCCTATTTAGGTCAACTACCATTTACACCCTCATTCGACTCGCTTGCACTTACCTGTGCTTCTCCTGAATTGGCTCTGAAAGTGTCGTTGGAAGTTCCTTTACTTGGCCTGCAGCACGCAGGCGTCCCATGGATAGCCCCATTCATCTGCTTTTCTAGATTTCAACTGCCAGGGTAGTGAAGCCTTACCAACAGTGAGGACGCCACGCGACACGTTTTAAATCTCAGAGCCACCAGGTCTGATAAACAGCAGGAGGAGGAACCGTAGCAGTGTTAGGGTATCACTAGTAGTCGTTGTCGCCGGCGTCGTCGTCGGCGTATTCGTAATAGTACACATCATAGTAATAATCATGCAGTAAAAGTAGCAGTAGCAGTAGCAGTAGCAGCAGCAACGCAGTGTCAGTATCATTACAGGAATCTTCACAAGCAAAATGGAACGATCCTCTATGCATACGGCACATAACCACCGTTCGTCTTGCAGCTCATGACCAAGTAGATAAAGCCACGGTGAGCCCTTAATGAAAACTGCAGTGAACCCTAAACTCTGACCAAGCTCTGAACCGTAAACGCTGAACCCTACCCCCACACCCTCAACCCAACACCAGAACCCAAACCTGAATAGCAAACCGCAAACCCCAACTTACTGGCTCTCAGTCTTAGTTGGGAAACACGGACTGTATCACATGGGGTTATTATATTCCTACTAACCCTAAACTCTAAACCCTACTATTTTGTCCCTTACTCCCTACTAAGAACCAATAAGCCAAACATGAATCAAAACAGCCCAGTGGCCTTGCCGGAGCTAGTTTGCTGCGAGCCGACCTGTCCGAAAGGCTGCGGAGTTTGTACGGTGTTACGGGCTTTTGACTGGTGATCCTCTTGTTGGCCTCTTCTACAACCGAGACTATACTGTTCTAGAGGGTGTTTAAAGTTTGAAGCGTGACCATGATTTGCGAAAACCTCGGTGATGGAAGCATCGCTTTCGGCTTGCCAGCCTGGTTGCCGTGGTCGTGATCGTCATGTTTGCCTTTTTCAAAAAACAGGGCTGCGGGGAGCTGCTTATTGCCTTGAGCTTAAAGTGAACCTAGATTCTGAATCTAGATATCATCTACGTGGCAGGAGCGAATAGCTCTGACGCCGAGAAGCCAAGTGCCCTGACCCTGGCTATCATGCAGTCCGAGCAGCACTCGGGCTCGCGGCTGGCCGCAGGAAGACCGTCGAACAGCTCCATCAGGAAGTGCTTGGTGCTTTCCCACGACCTCACATCTGCGCGCTGATCGTACATGGCCTGCATGGGAACGCTTGCGCTCCACTCGGTGAAGCTGTGGTAGACCCCGGAGCCATACCGGGCGATTTCGTAGGTGGCCTGTGCAGACTCGAACTCCTCCTCCAGCAGTGCCATGTCCGTGGCCATGTCATCCTTCACGCCAGAATGCAGCAATACCTTGGCCGTCACTGGGACGGTGCTGTTGCCACGCACCACCCGCGCACTCGGGCTGATGCCGGAATGGTATCCAACCACGCCCAGCACGTCCATGCCCAGAATGGCCATGTTCACAACGCCGGTACCCCCAAAGCAGTAGCCGATGACAGCAATTTTGGTGGTGTCAACGAATTCCAGGGTCTTGACCTTGTCGATTGCAGCCGTGATCTTCGACATGTAGAGGTCCGGATTCCCACGATGCATGCCGGCAGCAGCTGCCCAATCGCCCATGTCCTCCACAGGCGTGCCGTAGCCGTAGATGTCCGCCGCGAAGCCAACATAGCCCAGCCCAGCCAGCATGCGCGCGCGCTCCTTCTCGTAATCGTTCATGCCGTTCCAGTCCTGGATGATCACAACCGCCGGACACTTCATGCTGGCCGTGCAGGTAGTGTGGTTGTAAGCCAGGTAGCCTTCGCAGGTCGTGGTGTTGCAGGTGTAGTTGTGCAGCCCAGTCGTGAAGCCGTCGTCCTCTGGGCCCCGGCTGGCTGCAGGAAGACCATTGAACAGCTCCATCAGGAAGTGCTTGGTGCTTTCCCACGACCTCACATCTGCGCGCTGATCGTACATGGCCTGCATGGGAACGCTTGCGCTCCACTCGGTGAAGCTGTGGTAGACGCCGGAACCATAGCGCACGATCTCGTAGCTTGCTGTTGCGCTCTCGAACTCCTCCTCCAGCAGTGCCATGTCCGTAGCCATGTCGTCCTTCACGCCAGAGTGGAGCAATACCTTGGCCGTCACTGGGACGGTGCTGTTGCCACGCACCACCCGTGCATTGGGGCTGATGCCGGAATGGTATCCAACCACACCCAGCACGTCCATGCCCAGAATGGCCATGTTCACGACGCCGGTACCACCAAAGCAGTAGCCGATGACAGCAATCTTGGTGGTGTCCACGAAGTCATACGTCTTCACCGTGTCAATTGCCGCAGTGATCTTGGCCATGTAGAGGTCTGGATTTCCGCGGTGCGCGGAAGAAGCAGCCATCCAATCGGCCATGTCCTCCACGGGGGTGCCGTAGCCGTAGATGTCCGCTGCGAAGCCCACGTAGCCTAGCTCGGCCAGCATGCGTGTGCGCTCCTTCTCGTAGTCATTCATGCCGTTCCAGTCCTGGATGACCACCACAGCCGGACACTTGCTGCTTGCGTTACACTGCGATGTCTTGTAGGCCATGTATCCACCGCAGGTCGTGGAGTCACACGTGTAGTTGACCATCATGGCCTCATGCTCGCAATGGTCGTGGTCATGGTCATGGTCGTGGTCACCGTGGCCGGCTGCAAGTGCAGTGGCCGCAAGGGTGGCCGCAACTAGCACGCGGCACATCGCCATGCTTCAGTGTGTGGAGCTCACACTTGGGCGCACTAAATCAAATTTGGGAGGTTTGAGGCCTTGCGCAATCCACACAGACGAGTTTTGTGGCAGGTTGCAGCAGCGGTTGCCCTGGCTTCACCCTGCATCCACAGCTGCCTTATGTTTTTTTGCTCGCAGAGCGCTGTAACGCCAAGTCAGCTCATGGCTGACCCAGCTCTTGGAGTCTTTGTTTCCGGAGGCTCGGGTTTGCAAGGCTCTCCGGATACTACGTCTTGTTACTCAAACTTGTCTTACTATGCTGCATTGTAGCTGCATTGCAGTACTGTCTCCAAACGCTCAAAAAAAGTGGCATGTGAGAGACATGTTGGTGTTTTTCAGATACGGTCACAAGGCTCATTCCAGCCCGTTTTGACTACATACATGTGTGCCTTTCTCCGCGGAAATGGTCAACTGGTGAATTGAATGCCTTGGGCTTCCTATTCTGTTTAGAGGCGTGCGCAGCACAGATTGAATGAAGTGCCCCTATGCCTCCCAAGACTCTCCCTCTTGTTGGGTTGCTGTTAAGGAACTTAGACTAAGTCAACATAATGAGGAAACCCTGTTTTGTAATATACCCAGAATATTGTACTCAATTTCAGTTCCCTCACAGCAACCCAGTTTTGTAGAAGACTTTGCTGAGAACAAGACGCCGTGCTTTTTGATAGAAACGGGTCTTCGCATGTCTTGTAAGGAGTGAGTCATCACGAATTTCCGATGGTTTCGTATTCCCTTCCTGGCCTTAAAGAAAAATGACGAGGAATTTCCGATGGTGTTATATTCCCTTATTAGCCTTAAATAAGTCTAATCAGCAGCCCGCAGGGCCCTACTCTGATCCAGGGGCCCGTACATTATGGGGAAGGACTTACCGAATGCAGCAATTTCCTAGCGCCTGAAGTGCAAACCTGAGAAACTGTATGGAGTTAGGCAATACTGCTCGCAAAAACCTTGATCATCAAGTCCTAGACTGGGCTCTGGCTGTAACATTCATCTTCCAGGAAAGAGCTTACTTCAAGGGGCTATGATTTCACTAAGTGCTCAAGTGGTCCTGAAGGAAAGTGGGGACGTAGGCGTTCCCCCGAGCTACGAGGCTAGCCCTCCTCTGGAGGGTGAAGAGCACAACGAATGCCTTCCTAGGGTTTAGGGTTTAGGATTTAGGGTTTAGGGTTTAGGGCTCGCCTGTCCTTGCTCTCATATGATGGGCCCAGGGTCAAGGGGCTTCGTGCTTAGGTAGTAACATTACTATGAGGACTGGCGTCATTGGATTTACTGCTGCAATGAAAACTACAGCAATTGAATCTGGGATTTGGGGTATCTGATAGACTTCATCTTGCATGTCACTTGGCCTTAACAAGTATAGCTGCACAGTGAATACGTTTTCTGCTACCACACCATACTGCTGTGCTGTTCAGAAGTAGGGGCAAGCGGGAAACATCAACTCACAAGCCCTAAGTGCTGCTCCTCCTAAACCCCCGCACCCTAAACGTGATTTTTAAAACTCTCAACCCTGAAGCTAAGCCCCAAATCCTATATGACGCTTAAACGCTGACCCTCCTAACTTTTTAACCTCAAACCCAGGGAAGGCAATCGTCTGTCAAAACTCCGACCGTGCTGCGGGCTTTTCCCATCCTATGGGATTCTCGGGGTTGAAATTCACTCAATTGATAACAAGACTTGGGTGATCTCATCTCCTTAAGACAGTGTATATATACATATATATATATATATGTATAGATATATAGAATCATGTGATCATTACAGGGTCTTAATTATGGGGGCCTGAAGTTGCCAAAATCAATTCTTGCCACTTACTCCCCCATATGTTCTGAACTTTACGTATGTTGGAAGCTCCGAAACAGGGGTACTGCTTATAGGACCCTTATTTTCTTAGCAACCCGCGTATGGGTTTAGGTTTTGGAGCCCAAAGAGCCCTCTCCTATGCTGCCCATACGAGGGTAAAGTTGCAACATCCATGAGCCTCTGCACATAGCTCTTCTGGGGTTTAGGGTTTAGGTGTACCGTATACCTCAACAGGCAGGTTGAGTGTCTCACGGGGCTATAATGTGAGAGTTCCTTGAGATAACCCCTGCCTCATAAAGGGGCCCTGTATCACCCGATACTCATCTCTGCATGTTCCTAAGCCCTCTGCCTACCTTCTACTAGGGCCTATAAGTACCCACTATTAGGGGCCATAAATCCCTTCGCTCCCCAGGTACCCCATTTTGAGAAACCCAGTCGTCCGCAACCCGCAAATCCGCGAGCCGCGCTGGCTCTTTTCAGGCCCTGGCTGGAGCACCTGGAATACGAGGGTTGAGGGTTTAGGCGTTTGAGGGTTCGGGATTTTAAGGTTGAGGGTTTAGGGTTCAGGAGGGGCTTAAAGTTCCGGATGGGACTTGGATGTTGATGGAATTGTGGCTTGGGGAGGCTACATCCGGGAACAATAATCTGATGAAGCATGTGTCCACAAGATTATCATAATAAGATCCATATACCCCATGTTCTATTCTACTCAAGGGGGGGCTCTGTCCCAATTTAACCCCAATATACTATAGCAGTTTCCATTTTCTTTTCCACCATGGCCCAAGTCAACAACACTCCAAAGAGCCTAAGACCCCCGTGTAGCTGAGCTTGGAAGATTCAGGGCGACAATTGAAATGAAAACACGCATTCAACCTCACGAAGCTTCATCACCATCATTCGGGTTTGAGGTTTTGGGGGTTTGCGGCTTCAGGGCTTATGTCCCAAGGAGAAGCAGTTGCCTGCTTGAGACTTTGCCCTCTCCGGGCTTCGAAGGGCCAGGCGGCTAGGGTCTACCGATCTACTGCTGTGGCTTTCTAGGGCTTAGGCCTTAACCTAATAGCCCTAAAGCTGGAAGTTTACACCCTGGGGATTAAGGTTCGGGATTTCGCGCTCATCGCTTCCTTGACCCAAAGATCCGAATCGCCTCAATGCATGCAGCGCGGAACAGGCCGCTCTTTTCCACTGGCTACCTATCATATCGTTCGGTGATTCGGGCCATGTGCCGTACGAACCTTGTCACACGTCAGAACTGAACACCTTGAAGCAAGCGAGAGTAAGCACTCGTCTTGCGGTGTTTCAACTCACCCGGACGGCCCTGTTCCACAAGCTGTCCGCATTCCATCACCATGATCTGATCCGCTTTCTCGGCCAAGGACACGCGGTGCGTCACCATCAGAATGATTATCTGCCGCTCCTCCATGAGAGCTCTCAACATCTTGAAGACCTCCATCTCAGCCTCGGGGTCCAAAGCGCTAGTTGGCTCATCCAGGAGCAGGATGTCTGCTTCGCCGCACAAAGCTCGCGCCAGGCCTATCCGCTGCCGCTCGCCGCCACTCGGAGTCCAGTCACTTGCCCGTCCCTCACTCAGGGTGTCACCCAATCGCTGGATAAGATCTGACGCAGCTGCCTGTTTCAAGCAACTTGCGATAGTCTCATCGTCAATTTCTCGATGCATCGCCACATTTTCCCGCAGAGTGTCCGGAAGCAAAGGAGGGTTCTGCCTCATGAATGTGACAGAACCATCAGCTTCTACACAACCACCGTGGCGCAACTCGCCCGCAATAGCTCGTAGCAAAGTGCTTTTGCCAGAGCCACTCTTCCCGACAATGGCAATGAGCTGAGCATGCGACACGTGGAATGAGATACCGTTCAAGAGCGCCTGACCATCACGATGAAAGCTCAAATCACTCACTGTCAAGCGATTGAAAGAATCGCCGTTCGAATTCTGAATGCTGGAGCATGCATCCTGACCCTGTATTTCACGGAGTTGGTTAATCGTTTTGATCGTCTCGCCGCATGCCTGGGCTTGTCTGGGAGTAGCTGGTTGTCTTTACCATGGTTGAGGACTTCCCCAAGGCAACACATAGGCTAAATCTTACCTACTGCCCGAAAAACAAGCTCACATTTGCTACTATCTCAGACCGTATGCCAATGGTACTTTGGACCCGTAGAGTCTATGCTTACAGAATGCCATCCAGGTGCCCTCATATTTCCAATGCTCTGAAGCAAGTCTCTCAACGAAAACGCCAAGTTGATCGACAAGCCAAAGGTAGCATGATACACAGCAAATGGCATCTCTCCCGTCATGACAGCCCCTCCGAGGAGGAAATAGGCCGCTACAAAGTTTGAAGATTGACGCCAACTGTCAGACATCTCCCACAACTTCCGCCTCTTCTCAAGCTCAACATTCTTCAGGCGCCCATGTTCCATAACTTGACTTAGCCGATCACCTCTCTGCTTGGTTGCATTGTAGGCCCGTGTTTCGTCGGCCACGCGTAGCTCTGCAACAACGTCATCTGATAGTTGCCTTGATGCCTGTGTGGCCGCACGTGCCGCCGGGCCGATTTTACTTTGCAAAAACATGCTGAGAACAACGCCTCCTGTAAGGATGCCCATAAAGATGGGGAAGATTCTGCGGAAGTGAGTCCTGCTCCTGCGCACCAGCAATGCAAGGAAGATCGAGAAAATGACGGTACCCCAACACCGCGAAAGGAATTGTGCAACACATCGGTCAGCTCATCGAGTTCGCGGTTGAACAAGGACGCTGCAGCTCCTTCTGATACGTCTTCCTTCGACTTAAGCAGCAAAGGGAAAGCCCATTTCTGGATCGAGAGCTTGACTGACTGGCTGGTCAACTTCGAGTAGTAAGCGTAAGCGCCCTGGCATATGGGCGCCAGGAGCAACACCAGCAGGACCTTGTTAATCCTTGGCCAGAATTCTGCGTTGTTTTGGGCGATGAAGCAATATTGCGCCCAACTCTCCGACGAACTGCTTCTCATAGGCCGTGCAGAAACAGCTGGCTACTGCAAAGGATGCCATGATTGCCAAGTTCCCCTTGTTTTCCCAGACTGCCTGTGGAAGGCTGGGAAGAACAATGCCCGAACGAGGTAGCGCCTTCTTCAGGGGTGCTGTAAGTTTGGACGTGTTGAGGTAACACAAGGCTGCATCCCAGACAAGAGCAAATGTGGACAAGAGCAAATGTGGAGGCGGGGAATGAAACCCTGAAGGCTGTCATTCTTTGAAACTTACCTGTCCAATGTAATAGGTGAACCAAGCTTGAACCTTCAGGGGAGAAGGGGAGCTATGCAGAAAGTATCCATGTAATTATTACGAACCCAAAGTGGCAAAGGCTCCTCAGGCACAGACTTTGCAGTACCATTTCCAATCATCCTAAACCCATGCTTCAACCGTCTGCGCTAAAACAAGCCTGAACCTGCTTCTGGAACCCTTAAAGGAACCCTCCAGCCGACCCTGCACTCGGCTACGAAGATGACCAACCCTAAACCCCAGGCCGCAAAACGCTAAACACCCTAAACCCCTAAACCCTCAGACCCTAAACTGTAAACCCTAAACCCTACAACCCTAAACCCTAAAACCCTAAACCCTGAAACCTAGTTTTCCGAAACCCTACCTTGGCTGACAGGCTCGCCTCGACAAAACTGCGCTGCAAGGCCTTTGGACTTAGGGTTCGGGGTCAAGGGTTTGGGTTTCCAAAGGCCCCTATGTAGGGTTTAGGGTATTGGGGATATATTGGGATAGCGGAAAATAAAATGGAAACTACGATTTAGGGATTTAGGGTTTAGTATTTAGGTTTAGGGTTTAGGCTTTGGGGTCAAGGGTTTAGGGGTTTCGTGTTTGGGGATTTAGGGTTAAGCGCTCAGGCTTTGGGGGCTTTGGGTTTTTGGGTTTGAGCGCTTGGGATTTCGGATTTAGGGTTTAGGGCTCAGGGATTGGGGGTTCAAGGGCTTTGGGGGCTTCAGTGTCTTAAGAGCTTCAGAGCTTAGCGTTTCAGGTTTGGGAATTTCCATATTGGTGTTTATGGGGTTTGGTGTTTGGGCCCTTAAAGGTTTAGGCTTCCAGCCTTCTTCTGCAGGAATGGCGGAACAAAGCCAGACTGCCAAAAAGGCGACCAGAAGGCGAAGCAGAGCAGAACCATGCGCCCGGCCACGCGGTGGCAACTGCGCCCCATCAGAAAGACTCAAGACTAGTATCTTCAGAATATCTGCGAGTTGGGCCAACTGCAGGCAGGTGTCGTTTGCAAGAACCGCAAAGGTCTAAGTCCAAAGTCGTGATTGCTGCACTAAGCTGCTTCCATTGATATGTATGGTCCTCTACGTAAACAACACCAATTTACGTATGTCAAGCCCTGCTTCCAACTACCCATGAACCTTCTTCAAGCCGACCTGACACGACAGGCACTTCAGTAGCGAAAAAAGGAGGCATTAGAGAGACCTGCCTCGATACCGTGCTCCCGGGCGATATGCGAAGCCACTTCTGGAAATCCTCCGTGGCTTTTGGTGTTTTGGATTCGGGGTTTCTAGGGTTTAGGGGTGTAGGGATTTAGGGTTTAGGCTTCGGGGTCCTTTTTACGCCAGTCACGTATAGAAGGGGACCTACTTTGCACAACCACCTATAAGATTGATGGACACCTTACCTTGCTATGAAGGAGTACCCTACATTAGGGGAAGAATTTATTCCATAGCCCATCAGCGGTATTTACACCTGGGCGTGGCAGCCTGCTTTTGTGGTTCTGGCATTTAGGGTTTACCTTAACCAGGTTTCTGCTGCCACGGTCTGCAACCTAGGCTCTGGTCTACCAGCGGGGGGGTGGTCACAAGGACAATCCCTTTTTGATTTTTGGGGACCTGAAATAGGTGCCACACTTGAAAAGGGCTCCATAAAGGGACCAGAAATTTGACAACCCTCTAGTTGGGGTGTAGGACTGGAGGTATTCGGATTACGACTGGAAACTTGAAGTAAAGTATGGGATTTAGAGCTTAGGGTTGAGGGATTGGGGGTTTTGGGTCTAGGGTTTGGGGTGCCAGGCTTCAGTCGTCCAAGGGAGGATTGCTGAAGCTGCCCGGGGTAATCGAAACAAACCCTGCAGGAGCCTATGCAATGCAGGAGTCTGCGCAATCATTAGCCTGACATGCCATCCTCTATTATGTGCCCCACACCCCAATCATCTGGGCCCTGTACAGCATGGGAATCTGACTTTTCAGCTTCCCAAATGGGACAACCGCATCAAGCGGGGAAACTTGTTTTTTGTCAGTGGGGCATGGGGGCATGCATCACTTTAGTAGCCTCGATATATTTCGACATGAGAGCTTCCATTTCCTTTTCTGCTCGTTCATTCTCTAAAAACCAACCAGTAAGGAAAGCCTTCACAGCCTAATCCAAAGTTCTAGGGTAGATCTAGTTTAGGGGGACCCCCCTTCCGGTAACAGTGACTTTAAGGGATAATGGTGATTCTATCCGGGTCCTCTTATATTCCTATTATGTCCACCTGAGATAGTTGAAGCTTGGAAGGAGGGTATCTTCAGTTATGATACAAATCAAGGCTGCATAGTGTAGGTACAGGACGTGTTGCACCACCTCATATACCCTGTACCCCAATAGGTACAGAATTTTTGGTTTCTTAAATTGTGCAAGATTTCCTCCGTCCATCGTAGCTCTACTTGTACATGTGCTATAGGTCGCCAAAATTGTGGTCCCTCTTTCTCCAGGCCGTAAATTTATAATGTGGCCTCGGTTTATTTCAGGAACAGTGCCCCCTAAAAAGGGACCGTAATTTCAACAACCCTGCACACAACTTCCCATCACCCTTCAAGTAAACTCTGAACGCCTGTGCCCCTGGGCTCATGGCTCACTCCTCCGAGAATTTGGAGTCCTGAAAGCGAGTCTTCGTTTCCGCTGCCCAGGCTTGCTGTCGGCTTAAGGTGTAAATTTACCCGAATGTATGGGCCTGAATGATTACCAACATCATTTTAAAGCCCTTTTGAGGTGACCTGTAGCATAATTATGGCAGGGGTCTATTGGTAATGATTTAGATTTCTGCAGTAAACCCTTAAGCCCTGAAGCCTCAAGATTTGGGGAGGTGCTGAAGCCAACCACAACCCCTTTGCAGCAAGAGTCCTGGTGGTGTAGGCCCAAGGTGGATTGCGGGGCTTCCCAAAGTCAGGAACCAATAGTGAGGATTACGGGATTTTGGGGTCTTCATTAGGGTCCCCCTATTACGGAAAACTACCACATACTTGTAACCCATGTTGGCGTGCTGTAAATCAGATGCCCCAGCGCATCTCACTGTTGGCGGGACACGGATGGAAGCCAAAGACTTCCCCGTCGTAAGTAGGTAATGCAGGGCGGATCCCTATAGTAGCCTAGGGTTTAGGGCTTAGGTTTCAGGGTTATATAATACACGAAAACATGGCAGTTTCCGTTATCCTTCCCATGTCCTTAGCCCTAAACCCTAGTAGTTTCCATTTTCTGTTCTGACATCTGACCGCGGGCATTAAGATTGTAGGGCTTTTATGACTTATCAGGCTGCAAAGTCTTCTGAGGTTACATGTTCAAAGATCTTATGCGCCAAGGTGAAGATGTTGGCGTAGAGTGGGTGTCGAGGCTATACCTTGCGGGGCACATAGGGAGGGGTCACAATGGGGTGTAAGGGTTTACGATGTACGGTATGGTTCAAGATTTACGGCTTCGGTGTAAGCCCCACAACTTCAAAAATGCCGGTAGCAATTCCAAATAAGCCTCAGAAAGCTCATGCCTGAAGATGTTAACAGTGGACTATGAGTCCCAAACCGACACCCTATGCCGTCGCCCAAGACCCCGCATTAGAGACCTTTCCTCACCTGCAACCCCCACAGCCCAAGCCCCGCCCACCTTCCCCCGTAAGCCCCTAAGAACAAAGGCCCAGAAATCCTAAAACTCAAACCCTGAATCATAAAACCCCATCCGAAACCCAAAGCCCCAAACCC